ACATCAGCATTGAATGCGAAGGCAATCAGATGTCTGCCGTCGACAACAAAGGAAACTGTTATATATTTGCTTTAAAACACAATAAAGGGGTCGAAGGACTGCAGAAGAGACTCAAATTCAAAGCCCATCAGAAATTCATACTTAAATGTCGTTATAGTCCCGACTCTACACTCCTATCGACGGCGAGCGCCGACCAAACGGCCAAAATCTGGAGAACTGCCGATTTGTCGGACTTAAACTCATTGTCACAAACCATCGAAAGCGACAAAAAGTCAAACAAACAGTTGAACGGCGCCCACAACTGGCCTAAAGTGGACTCTATATTACCCGCCGTTGAACTCAAAGACCCCAATCAGAGATGGGTTTGGGATTTGGGCTTTTCGGCCGATTCACAGTTTATTATAACGGGTTTGTATTACAGTATAATTGACTACAATTTGTGATCCATTAACGCATGTCATTGAATACAAACGATAGGCTCATCCGATAATAACGCCCGTCTCTGGAATGTCTTCTCCGGTGATGTGAAACGTGAATACAGTGGCCATCAAAAGGCCATAACAGCCCTCGCATTCTCCGACGCTTTGGTTTAGTAATTAGTTATATATTTATTTTTATATTTTATAATATACTATGAATTGTATTCTGTTATACATTATATATAAATCATTTCAATAAAATATACATAAATTGATTGTAAAATATTAATGAAAAATAAACTTATTATAAGTTGTTATTAAAAACAGTGTTAAAAGAGTTGTAACAGTTTATAGAGTTCTTCATTCAAAAGTTGTGCCACAATTAGGACAACGTCTCTGTCTTAAGGCTAAACAAAATGGGAGACAATTGGCATTGAATTAGAGATAAGCCGACAATTTTAGTGATTGAATGAATGAAATACCGAAACAGCAAAGGATTCCCAACGGGAAGAACAGAAGCGCCAGAAGTATTCCCAAACACGTGAAGTCCTCCTCCAGTACTCCAACCTTTCAATGATAAACCATTTGGCGGTTAAAGTGTGGACACAAAGTGGGCGGACATGACATGACATACCCGACAGGCCGGACACGAGCCGATAAATATGATGGTCTGCGGAACCGTCTGAACGATTGTGCCGTAATTTGTTGGATACGATTGGCCAGAGTTGGCGCCGAAGCCGGGCATCGGTTGGCTGTATATGTTGTGTCCACTCGAGTCAATGTTGGCAACGATGAGAGGGTTGGGAGCGTTGGACGGGTTGTGAGGGTTCGGCAGATATGCTGTCAATACATAACAATTGAATGAAAAAATGGTTCAATTAATTGATTGTCAAATGCCATACAGTTTTGGTCAGGAAATGGTGAATAAGGCGGTGGTGTTATCGGGTAATCATCGTGTGGTCGGCCATCGGGTCCGCCATCTGTTCCCAGAGTGTGGTATTGCAAGCGTTGGTCCTTTTGGTCACTCATTGTGTGATTTGCAGACAATTTGTGTTTACATTTGAAAAGTCAAACAAAAGACCAAAACAAACATCACTTTCACAGACGCTGTGACTCTATTCACAAATCTGGTACTCAATTCAAGTTAATCTAAAACCCTTTCACTTATTTCTTATGTAATAATTTATTACATAATTATTATTAATATTATAACTAATAATTTAGAAATTAATTATTTTTACACTATTTATAAGTCTCCGAAAGAAATTGTCATTTTTAAAAACAATATGTTTGTTAATAATGTTTGTCATTTGCATTAATGGTAATCTAGTTTGCAATTTATAAAAGTTTGTACAATAATTTGCTTAAATATTAATACAAAAACTATTAATACAAAAACTATTAATAAAATAACAATTATGCATTACATGTGCGCTTGTAATCAATTAAATATAATATTTTATTTGGTAATGATTTCAGTCATGTTTTTTAAACACTTGTTTTATTTTTTGAAATGCCATTTAAAGATTAATTAAGTTTTTCTATAAATAAATAAATGATAAATAATTTAATAAATATTAATACTGGCGATCATCACCAATAGGAACAATTGTTTGTATATTAAGAGTTACTCTCATAGAATATCATTTTCGTAAGTAACCATGTTAAATATATTAATATGTTAATATAGTAAAGTTAATGAACAATAGATTTTAATTAGAATATTCTGTAATTATAATAATTTCAAATTTAGAAAACATAAAAATGATCCCTAAAGGGAGTGTTTCCCTTTGAGAGGTTCCCAACCCAAAGGCTAGACAGTAATAATTGAGTTTTTATGAAAATATAAATTGAAATTCATTGCAAGCATTGATGTATTCAATTGTCGTACAATTGTTTGCAATTTGATTAGCGGTTCAATATATTTATGATATACTCTATTATAGCGTTTTAATTAAGTAAAACTGAATGTATTGTTGGCAACACATCTCTTGCATACACTTTCTAGTGTTGTCTCTATTTTTGGCAATTCATCCCATATTGAGAACCACTGGATATTTATATTGAAAACAATTATTTAATTAAATAATAACAGAATTTTTGTGAGTGAGTGAAAGGGAACGT